ATTACCGTGGCTACTAGCCCCAGACTTGCCCTCCAATGGATCCTCGTTAAGGGATTTAGATTGTACACATTCCAATTACCAGACTCGTAGAGCTCGATATTGTTATTTATTGTCACTACTTCCCCGTGTCAGGATTGGGTAATTTGAGCGCTTGCTGCCTTCCTTGATGTGGTAGCAGTTTCTCAGGCTCCCTCTCTGGAATCAAACCCTAATTCTCCGTCACACATCACCACCATAGTAGGCCACTATCCTACCATCGAGAGTTGATATGGCAGAAATTTGAATGATGCGTCGCCAGCACAAAGGCCGTGCGATCCATCGAGTTATCATGAATCATCAGAGCAACATGTAAAGCCCGCGTCAACCTTTTATCTAATAAATGCATCCCTTCCCAAAGTCAGGGTTTGTTGCATGTATTATCTCTAGAATTACTACGGTTATCCGAGTAGCAAATACCATCAAACAAACTATAATTGATTTATTGAGCAATTGCAGTTTCACAGTCTGAATTAGTTCATACTTACACATACATGGCTTAATATTTGAGACAAGCATATGACTACTGGCATGATCAAGCAGGTAACATTCCTTCGCGACGTCGAGCACCGTATGGTCCTCAATCCGATGCCTTGGTAGTGGACGAGGCCATAATAGGACACGAGCATCGTTCATGTCGAGGGACAAAATTGTATAGGTATCGAGCGATGGGGCCGAGGGACCCTACGCTCACAAAATGTTCCTCATCCGAAAGAACGATTGAGCATCGATGCAGCACTGTGGCAGAGTATACACAAAACGCACAACGGGACACCGGGCATGACTTAAGTCTATCACCTAGGCACAAGGTCACATGATGAAAGAGGGACGGCAAGACATTCAAAATTGCATCGATTTAGGCACGTAACACATGATCTCGATCGTAGCCCTTGGGTTCGAAGACTGCAAGGGGAGACATTGAAGAGGAGTGCGGCTCGATAGTTTGTTGCATGTAGCACGAAGCCTGCCGACACACACAACCATATCACCACTCACATGCCCAATTTCGTAAGAGTAGTAGCATCCACGCCCACCGGTCCACAACCCACATGACAATTGACTTGGCCGAGGAGCGGAGGAAACAATGAATGAGGGCACACCACAACCGCTTGGCACGAAAACTAGACATAGGCGAGTATACCCACCAATTTTGTGAAGCCTTTTTTTTGGTGGGGGTAGGGTGTGTGGTCTTTCTTTCTTTTAGAGGAAAGGGGTGGCCTTTTTTGGTTTTAGAGGAAAGGGATGGCCTTTTATTCCAGGGGTGGAGAAGGTTTTTTTGGGAAGAGAGCTCTTTTAGTTTGAGTGGAGAAAAGGGATGGGCAACTTCTTATATCTAGTATGATGCATACCCCTAGATGTCTTATCTCGTTCCCCTTGTAGGCCATTGCCATCAAAGGACTTGGTACTGGGTGACAAATGTCTCAGCAAGTAATACAGAGCCAATAGAGCATGCAGACTAGACCAAAGCGATGAGAGGTTGCCGAGTGTGGCCGAACATTGATAGACAATAACCAATGCACAGGTAGGTGCTACACCACTCCGAGTTGATACCTCGCCCAAGATATGGGGAAGAGGTTCAAGAGTATCGGGCGCACCGACCATTAACACGATCACGTCCTTCCTGCTACCATGTCCGACTAGCACCATCGGTGATAGGGGGCTAACCTATGTTAGCGCTACGCGCTGCCTCGCCCCCGTGGGGTGCCGAGGCCTGAACCCCCGAGGGGTGGGAGGGGGTGCCATGCTACTACCCCCTAAAGAGCTAAAAAACATAGGGAAAATGCTACAAGTAGACATTGAAATGTCTAAAACGAGGACACTTTCTCTATCGCCCTTATTGTGGCACCTATGGCCTTTTTTAGGGCCATGAAGTGCATGGCTCCCGCATCCAAGTGCTTACCCGCAAGTATTGTTCGTTGGTTTAAGCCTTTGTCGAGGACATCCATCGAAGTCCCTGTCGGGGCATTACCACTTTTGAAATTCCCCATTTCAATGGGGGAGGTGAGGGTCATTTTCTATCGTCCGAGAATTATCTCGGTTGTAGACCGCAACTAATGTCATTGTTTCCCACCATTCATTGAGGCCATCCATCGATTTAAACTCTCGGGGCACTAGTCCTTTTCGAATTATCCATTTCCAAGGGGAAGGGGCATTTTCCATCGTTTGGGACTTATCGGAGCTCCGATTGAGTCTCGTCGGAGCATCGTCAGAGCGTCGTCGGAGCACCACCGAGAACCTTACTGGTGGTGGGGGGCTTCGGTGGATGGTATGGGGTTGTGGGTAGCGTTAGGTCATGTTGCGGTCACAACCCCATGGGACACTGTCGGGGCCTCAAGAACCATCCCCCCAAAAGAGCTAAAAAACTTAGGCAAAATGCTATCAGTAGACATTGAAATGTCTCAAATATGTACACTTCCTTCCTCACGCACCAGGGGGACGTATGCCCCTCCCGACGCTCTGCGAGGCTCCAGCACCCAGCGCTCTGTTCTGTGCGGTACTCCCGCACCAATGGCATGGGGTTACCGAGGTACCCGTCGAGGGTTACCGATGGTGACTGAGGCCCCCGCACCCAACTCTCGGCTCTGTGCGGCACTCCCGCACCCATGGCCTGAGGTTACCGAGGCACTCGTCGGGGGTTACCGATGGTGACCAAGGCTCCCGTACCAATGGTCCGGGGTTGCCGAAGGTGACCGAGACACCCGTCTGGGTTTGCTGATGGTGACCGAGGCCACCCATCTGGGATTGCCAATGGTGACCGAGACAACCGTCTGTGTTTGTCAATTGTGACCGAGGCTCCCGTACCAATGGTCTGAGGTTATCGATGGTGTCCGAGACACCCGTCTGGGTTTGTCGATGGTGACCGAGGCCACTCGCCTGGGATTACCGATGGTGACCGAGGCCACTCGCCTGGGATTAACGATGGTGACCGAGACACCCGTCAGGGTTTGCCAATGGTGTCCGAGGCCACCCGCCTGGGATTACCGATAGTGACCGAGACTCACACACATGCGGGCCTGATGGTGATCGACTCTCCCCCACCCAATGGCTTACTTACTGCCCGACGTGTGCGAGTCTCTGGCACCTGTAGACGTGCTTCCTGCCCGATGCTATGCGAGGATACTGCACCAATATGCTTAGGACCCCTAGATGGGGTTTTCATCAACTACCGTAAACTTTAAATTTTCCTAAGTTGTGGAACTTGTAGAAGGAAAAAGATTGAAGTAGATGTTGTATTGGATCAGAACCATTGTGCCTTAGGAAAGGTCCCCATTCCCTCTTGTCGAACCCCTATTTCCAAAGCAAAAAATTTGGGATATGAACAATGAGGGGAGGGACGAATCGAAGTAACACAGGATTGAATCTCAGTGGATCCTGGCAGCAAGTCCACTCTGCAATTACAATACCCTATCGCATATTTAAGTCGTCTGCAAAGGATTCTACCCGTAACTCGGTGGAAATTACGTACCAGGGAGGCACGTGCCACTTGTCCGACGCGCGTGCTACGCTTAAGACACATACCCTTGGGGGCCGGGGCCCCTACTATGGGTCAGCAATCAGGCGACAAAACATGAGTCGCATCAGGCACTGATTCTGACTTAGAGGCGTTCAGTCATAATCCAGCGTACAGTAGCTTCGCGCCACTGGCTTTTCAACTAAGCGAGATGACCAATTGTGCGAATCAACGGTTCCTTTCATAGTAGGCTGAATTACAATTTTGATGCAGCCATCAGTAGGGTCAAACTACCCTGTCTCACGACAGTCTAAACCCATCTCATGTTCCCTATTGGTAGGTGAACAATTCAACACTTGGTGAATTCTGCTTCACAATGATAGGAAGAGCCGACATCAAAGGATCAAAAAGCAAAGTCGCTATGAACGCTTGGCTACCACAAGCCAGTTATCCCTGTGGTAAATTTTCTGACACCTCTAGCTTCAAATTCCGAAGGTCTAAAGGATCGATAGGTCACACTTTCACGGTTCGTATTTGTACTGGAAATCAGAATCAAACGAGCTTTCACCCTTTTGTTCCATACAAGATTTATGTTCTCGTTGAGCTCATCTTAGGACACATGTGTTATCTTTTAACAGATGTGCTACCCCAGCCAAACTCCCCACCTGACAATGTCGTCTACCCAGATTGACCGACAGAAGTCGGCCTTGGGTCCAAAAAGAGGGGTCGTAACCCGATTTCGATTCATGAAATAAGTAAAATAACGTTAAAAGTAGTGGTATTTCAATTTCGCCTGAGAGCTCCAACTTATCCGATACCTCAAGTCATTTCACAAAGTCGGACTAGAGGCAAGCTCAACAAGGTCTTCTTTCCCCGCTGATTCTTCCAAGCCCGTTCCCTTTGTTGTGGTTTTGCTGGATAGTAGACAGGGACAGTGGGAATCTTGTTAAATGATTCATGCGCATCACTAATTAGATGACGATGCATTTAGCTACCTTAAGAGAGTCATAGTTACTCCAGCCGTTTACCCACGCTTGGTTTAATTTCTTCACTTTGTCATTCAGAGCAGAAGGCAGAAATCACATTGCGTGAGCATCCACAGGGACACTCGCAATGCTTTGTTTTAATTAAACAGTCATATTCCCCTTGTCCGTACCAGTTCTGAGTCGACTGTTCGTCGCCCGGGGAAGGCCCTCGAAGGAAACGTTTGATGTTATCCCATGCTAATGTATACAAGCGTAGACCTTCTTTGAGCACTCTAATTTCTTCAAAGTGACAGTACCAGAGGAACGACCCAGCCAATTAAGGCCAGGAGTGCATCACCGGCAGTAGGGACGAGCAGACCGGTGCTCACCGTGAGGCAGACCGGCAGTAGGGACGAGCGTTTTAACTGCAACAACTTAAATATACGCTATTGAAGCTGGAATTACCGCGGCTGCTAGCACCAGACTTTCCCTCTAATGGATTGTCGTTAAGGGATTTAGATTGTATTCATTCTAATTACCATACTCGTAGAGCCCGATATTGTTATTTATTGTGACTACCTCCCCGTGTCAGGATTGGGTAATTTGCACGCCTGCTACCTTACTTGGATGTGGTAGCCGTTTCTCAGGCTCCCTCTCCAGACTTGAACCCTAATTCTCCATCACCCATCACCAACATAGTAGGCCACTATCCAACCATCGAAAGTTGATAGGGAAAAAATTTTAATGATGCGTCACCGGCACAAAGGTCATGCGATCCGTCGAGTTATCATGAATCATCTGCACAGCGGGTAAAGCCCGCGTCAACCTGTTATCTAATAAATGCATCCTTTTCAGAAGTCGGGGTTTGTTGAACATATTAGCTCTAGAATTACTACGGTTATCCGAGTCACTAATTAGATGACGAGGCATTTGGAGACCTTATGAGAGTCATAGTTACTCCCCCTTTTACCCGCGCTTGGTTGAATTTCTTCACTTTGACATTCAGAGGACTGGGCAGAAATCACATTGCGTGAGCATCCGTAGGGACCATCGCAATGCTTTGTTTTAATTAAACAGTCAGATTCCCCTTGTCCGTACCAGTTCTGAGTCGACTGTTCATCGCCCGGGGAAGGCCCCCGAAGGAGCTATTCCCAATCTGTCCCCTGGCCGGCACCCGGCGACCCGCTCTCGTCGCGGGAGCAGTGCACAGGCAGTCGATGGGTTCGGGACTGGGACCTCCGTGCCCAGCCCTCAGAGCCAATCCTTTTCCCGAGGTTACGAATCTATTTTACTGACTTCCCTTACCTACAATGTTCCATCGACCAGATGTTGTTCGCCTTGGAGAGCTGATGTGGTTATGAGTACAACCGGGCGTGGACGACACTCGGTCCTTCGGATTTTCAAGGAACGCCAGGCGCTGGACCCTACCTTCGGTTGAGCCATTTTGAGGCTGGGCAGGCCGTTAAACAGAATAGATAACTCTTCCCGAGGCCCCCGCCGACGTCTCCGGACTCCCTAACGTTGCCGTCAGCCGCCGTGTTCCGGTTCAGGAATTTTAACCTGATTCCCTTTCGAAGCTCGCGTGAAACACCCTATCGGACGGGCTTCCCCCATCTCTTAGGATAGACTAACCCATATGCAAGTGTCGTTCACAAGGAACCTTTCCCTATTCTTTCAAATTTCTCATTTGAATATTAGCTACTACCACCAAGATCTGTACTGACGACCGCTCTGCCTGGGCTCACGTTTCGGGTTTTACGGCGACCACCGCACCCTCCTACTCATCGAGGCCTGGCCCTTACCCCGATGGTCATGTATAGCTCACATGCCATCCATTTTCGGGGTTTGTTGATTCGGTATATGAGTTGTTACATACTCCTTAGTGGATTTCAACTTCCACGACCACCGTCCTAGTCTTAATCGACCAACACCCTTTGTGGGTTCTAGGTTACTGCGTAGTTGGGCACCGTAACCCGGCTTCTGGTACATCTCGCATCGCCAGTTTTGCTAACCTAAAATGGCCTACTTGGAGCTCTCGATTCCGTGGCATGGCTCAACGAAGTAGTAGCGCCATCCGACCTATTTAAAGTTTGAGAATAAGTCGAGGGCGTTATGCCCCCGATGCCTCTAATCATTGGCTTTACCCGATAGAACTCGCTAAGGGCTCAAGCTAGCTTGAGGGAAACTTCGGAGGGAACTAACTACTAGACAGTTTGATTAGTCTTTTGCACCTACACCCAAGTCATACGAACGATTACCACCTCAGTATCGCTACGGGCCTCCACTAGAGTTTCCTCTGACTTCGCCCCACTTTGGCATAGTTCACCATCTTTCAGGTCCCGACAGGCATGCTCTCACTTAAACCCTTCTTAGAAGATCAAGGTTAGTCTGCGGTGCACCCATGAAGTATCCTGCCAATCAGCTTCCTTGCGCTTTACAGGTTTTTTTCCCGTTGACTCGCACACATGTCAGACTCCTTGGTCCGTGTTTCAAGACGGGTCGGATGGGGAGCCCGTAGGCCGACGCCCTAAGCACGCCGATGCCGAAGCACGCCGAGAAGGCACATGCTGGGTTCCACGATCGAGGCGACGACATCTCTGTGGGCGTATCAAAGGTTCAGGCTTGGGCCGCCACCACGATCCGTCTCGGTCCACGTCCCGAGCCGATCGGCGGACCGACTGTCGCCGTTCCACATCTGATTGGGGCACATCACCGGCCCCCATCTGCTTCCCTCTCGACAATTTCAAGCATTTTTTGACTCTCTTTTGAAAGTCCTTTTCATATTTCCCTCAAGGTACTTGTTCGTTATCGGTCTCTTGCCCGTATTTAGCCTTGGACAGAATTTACCTCCCGATTAGGGCTGCTTTCCCAAAAAGACCGACTCGTAGATAGCGCCTCGTGGTGCGACAAGGTCCGGGCACGACGGGGCTCTCACCCTCTATGGTGCCCCTTTCTAGGGGACTTGGGCCCGGTCCGTCGCTGAGGACGCTTCTCCATACTATAATTCAGACATCGAGGGTGACCGATTATCGAGCTGGACTCTTCCCGGTTCGCTCACCGTTACTAAGGGAATCCTTGTAAGTTTCTTTTCCTCCACTTAGTGATATGCTTAAATTCAGCGGGTAGTCCCGCCTGACCTGGGGTCACACCCAAGAGGGTCATAGAGTCTAGATCGACGAGCGTGCATGACTCAGAATGAGGCTACTCAAGGCATTACCACCGATCGTCGTAGCACCGTGACGTCGTGCACTCAATTTTAGACCAACCATGAGCGTTTTGCGCATGAGAGGCCAATTTACGCACGGGAGGCCAATTTACGCACACACCTTGATTGATACCTTGTGGTTTGGGTTCAGATGGGGGCAACGATGCATGATACGCAGGCAAACGTGCCCTCGACCTAATGACTCGAGGCGTAACTTGCGTTCAAAGACTCGATGGTTCACAGGATTCTGTAATTCACACCAAGTATCGCATTTCGCTAAGTTCTTCATCAGTGCGAGAACCGAGACATCCGTTGCCGAGAGTCATTTTGAGTTTTTTTAACAAAGTAGGCGTACCTATGCTGCACGCACACCGCGAACTGGGTGAGGACAAGACACGACCACCTTTTCATTCTAATTCCTTGGCGCAATTCACGCCAGGGGTTGTTTGTTTTACCTCGGAGACACCGGGTAGTGCCGCCCAACAGCACAAAGTACAAGCTAGAGCAAGCAATCCCAGTGCTCCGAGACGTGGAGGGGTCGAGGGGTAATTATGCGACCAGTCCTCCTCCAGTTGTTGTTCAATAACGTGTTCGCGGGTCGTTCTGCTAGGCAGGTTTCTACAATGATCCTTCCGCAGGTTCACCTATGGACACCTTGTTACGACTTTTCATTCCTCTAAATGATTAGGTTCAGTGGAATTATCGCGACGTCGCGGGTAGCGAATCGGCCACGTCGTCGTGATTCGAACACTTCACCGGATCATTCAATCGATATAAGCGATGCGGGGTGTGTACAAAGGGCAGGGACGTAGTTAACGCGAGCTTATGACGCGCGCTTACTAAGAATTTCTCGTTGAAGACCAACAATGGCAATGATCTATCCCCATCACAATGAAATTTCAAAGATTACCTGGCATGTCGGCCAAGGCTATAGACTCGTTAAATACATTAGTGTAGCCCGCGTACGGCCCAGAACATCTAAGGGCATCACAGACCTGTTATTTCCTCAACCTTCCTTGGCCTAAATGGCCATAGTCCCTCTAAGAAGCTAGCCACGTAGGATCACCTCCGTGTAGCTAGTTAACAGGCTAAGGTCTCGTTCGTTAACAGAATTAACCAGACAAATCGCTCCACCAACTAAGAACAGCTATGCACCACCACTAACTAGGACGGTATCATGATAGTCTTCGAGCCCCCAACTTTTATTCTTGATTAATGAAAACATCCTTGGCAAATGCTTTCGCAGTTGTTCGTCTTTCATAAATCCAAGAATTTTACCTCTGACTATGAAATACGAATGCCCCCGGCTGTCTGTGTTAATCATTACTCCAATCCTGAAGTCCAACACAATATGATCGAAATCCTGGGATGTTATCCCATGCTAATGTATACAAGCATAGGCCTGCTTTGAGCACTCTAATTTCTTTAAAGTAACAGCGCCGGAGGAACGACCTAGCCAATTAAGGCCAAGAGCTCATTGTCGGCAGTAGGGACGAGCAGACCGGTGCTCACCGTGAGGCGGACCGGCCGACCTACCCCTAGGTCCAACTACGAGCTTTTTAACTACAACAACTTAAATATACGCTATTGGAGCTGGAATTACAGTGACTGCTGGCACCAGACTTTCCCTCCAATGGATCCTCGTTAAGGGATTTAGATTGTACTCATTCAAATTACCAGACTCGTAGAGCCCGATATTGTTATTTATTGTCACTACCTCCCCGTGTCAGGATTGGGTAATTTGCGCATCTACTGCCTTCCTTGGATGTGGTAGCCATTTCTCAGGCTCCCTCTCTGAAATTGAACCCTAATTCTCCATCACCTGTCACCACCATAGTAGGCCATTATCCTACCATCGAAAGTTGATTGGGCAGAAATTTGAATAATGCATCGCCGGCACAAAGGCCGTGCGATCTGTCAAGTTATCATGAATCATTAGAACAATAGAAAAAGCCCGTGTCGACCTCTTATCTAATAAATGTATCCATTTTAGAAGTCGGGGTTTGTTGCACATATTAGCTCTAGAATTACTATGATTATCCGAGTAGCAAATACCACCAAACAAACTATAACTGATTTAATGATTCATTCGTAGTTTCACAATCTGAATTAGTTCATACTTACACATGATGGCTTAATCTTTGAGACAAGCATATGACTATTGGCAGGACCATCCAGGTATCATTCCTTCGTGACGTCGGGCGCCGTATGGTTCTTAATCCAATGCCTTGGCAGAGGACGAGGCCATAACAGGACACAAGCATCGTTCATGTCGAGGGAAAAAAATGCGTAGGCATCGAGCGAATGGGGAAAGGGACCCAACGCTCACAAAATGTTCCGCATCCGAAAGAATGGCCGAGCACCGATGCACTGACGTGGTCCAGTATACACAAAACACACACACGGGACACTAGACATGACTTAAGTCCACCACGTAGGCACAAGGTCACATGATGGAAGAGGGATGGCAAGACATCTGAAATTCCATCAATTTAGGTACACAACACAGGATCCCGATCGCACCCCTGGGGTTTGAAGCCCGCATAGGGAGATATTGAAGAGGAGTGTGGCTCGACAGTTCAATGGATGTAGCACGGAGCCAGCTGACACACACAACCATATCACTACTCACACACGACCAATTACTTGGTCGAGGAGTGGAGGAAACAATGAAAGAGGGCACACCATAATCGCTTGGCACGAAAACTAACAGAGACGAGTATACTCGCCAATTTCCCATCACGAAGGCAACCAACAACGACAAGATGTTTTGGTTTAAAAATTTTACGAGCTTTTTGCGAAGGTTTTTTTTGTGTGGGGGTGTGGCCTTTTTTTGGGTTAGAGGAAAGGATTTTTTTGCGGGGGTGTGGCCTTTTTCTGGGTTATAGGAAAGGGTCGGCCTTTTTTCTGGGGTGGAAAAAAGGTTTTCTTTTTGGGAAAGGGGTTCTTTGAGTTTGAGTGGAGGGGAAGGCTGGCATGCTGCATTGCTGGGGGGTGGGCTTGCAGTGTAACCTGCTCGAGGCTTCAATCTAGTCAGATGCGTACCCCTGGATGTCTTATCTCGCTCCCCCAGTAGGTCGTTGCCATCAAAGGACTTGGTACTGAGTTACAAATGTCTCGGCAAGTAACATAGAGCCAATAGAACACGCGGACTATACTAAAGCGACGAGCGGTTGCCGAGTTTGGCCGAATATGGAAAGACAATGACCAATTCACAAGTGGGTGCAACACCACTCCGAGATGATACCTCACCCAAAATATGGGGAAGAGGTTCATGAGTATCAGGCGCACCAACCATTCACACGATCACGTCCTTTCGGTTACCATGTCCGACTAGCCCCACCGGTGATGGGGGGCTAACCTGTGCTAGCGCTAGGGGGTGGGAGGGGATGCCAAGCCACTACCCCCTAAAGAGCTAAAAACACTTAAGCAAAATGCTACCAGTAGACATTGAAATGTCTGAAATGAAGACACTTTCTCCATCCCCTTTATTGTGGCTATCCAATGGCCTTTTTACTAGCCATGATGTGCATGGCTCCCGTATCCAAGTGCGTACCCACAAGTATTGTTCGTTGGTTTTATACTTCGTCGAGGCCATCCATCGAAGTCCCGGTCAGGGCATTACCGCTTATGTAATTCCTCATTTCATTAGGGGAGGGGAGAGTCATTTTCCATCGTCGGAGCAATACCCCAGTTGGAGACCGGAACTAATGTCCATTGTTTCCCACTATTCATCGAGGCCATCCATCAATTTTAACTCTCGGTACACTAGTGCTTTTCGATTTATCCATTTCCAGGGGACATTTTCCATCGTTCGGGCCTTATCAAAGCTTCAATGGGGACTTGTCGGAGTGTCGACGGAGCACTATTGGGGCCTCAAGAACTATCCCCCCTAAAGAGCTAAAAAACTTAGGCATAATTATACCAGTAGACATTGTAATGTCTAAAATGAGGACACTTCCTTCGCCACGCACCAGGGGGCCATACGCCTCGCCCGACGTTGTGGAAGGTTCCCGCACCCAGAGGACGGTTCTGTTCGGCACTCCCGCACCAATGGCTTAGGGTTGTCGAGGCACCTGTTAGGGGTTATCGATTGTAACCGAGGCTCCCACATCCAATGATCGTCTATCTGTGGCACTCCCGCACTAATGGCCTGGGGTTGCCAAGGAACCCATCGGGGGTTGCTGATGGTGACTGAGGCTCCTGCATCCAACGATCGATTATGTGTGGCACTCCCGAACCAATGGCCTAGAGTTACCGAGGAACCCATCGAGGGTTGCCAATGATGAACGATGCTCCCACACCCAACGCTCATTTATGTGCGACAATCCCGTACCAATGGCCTGGGCTTGTCGAGGCACCCGTCAGGGTTTACCGATAGTGATCAAGGCTCCAGCACCAATGCTCGGTTCTGTACGGCACTCTCGCAACAATGGCCGAGGTTGCCGATGGTTACCGAGGCACCCGTTTGGGTTTGCTGATGGTGAGCAAGGCTCACGCACATGGGGGTTTGATGGTAATCGACTCTCCTCCACCAAATGGCGTGCTAACTGCACGACGTGTGCGAGTCTCTAAGACCCATGGGCATGCTTCCTGCCCCATGCTGTGCGAGCCTACAACACTACCATGCTTAGGACCCTCGATGGGGTTTCCTTCAAGTGCCGTAAACTTTAAATTTTCCTAAGTCGTGGAACTTGTATAAGGTAGAAGACTGAAGTAGATGTGGCATTAGATTAGAACCGTCGTCCCTTGAGAATGATGGAGGTCCCCCGTTCGCTCTTATCGAACCCCCCGATTTCTACCACTACAAATTAGGGATATCAACGATGGGGGGAGGGACGAAACGAACTAACAAAGGGCTGAATCTCAGTGATTCGTGGCAGTAAGGCCACTCTGCCACTTACAATACCCCGTCGCATATTTAAGTCATCTGCAAAGGATTCTACCCGTCACTCGGTGGAAATTACGTTCCAGGAAGGCACGCGCGACTTGTCCAACGCGCGCGCTGCACTCACGACACTGCCCTTGGGGGCCGGGGCCCCTACTGCGGGTCAGCAATCAGGCGACAGGCGTATGCGTCTCTTCTAGCATAGATTTTGACTTAGAGGCATTCAGTCATAATCCAGCGCACTGTAGCTTCACGCCACTGGCTTTTCAACCAAGCGCGATGACCAATTGTACGAATCAATAGTTCCTCTCGTACTAGGTTGAATTACTATAGCGACGCGACTATCAGTAGGGTAAAACTAACCTGTCTCACGATAGTCTAAGCCCAGCTCACGTACCCTATTTGTGGGTGAACAATCCAACACTTGGTGAATTCT